CCTGTGACCTTGCTACAATAACTTATTATTTCCAGGAGCTTTTGGTTGATTCTTTGGGATTTTCTACATGGACAAAAAACAAAACCATTCATTTCTTCCTCTCTAATCTGTATGCCTGTTACCTCATATGCACTAGCTGCCTCCAAGCACAATGTAATAGGAGTGGTGAGAGGGGGAATCCTGCCTTCTTCCTGATTTTAGAGAGAAAACATTCGGTTTCTCACAGTCCCTCTGTTTTTATTACATCCCACCCCAATTTTCCAGTTTCTTTGTTTCTTTCATCTCAATTATTCATGTTATCACAGGCCTGTTGTTATGGAAAAGACAGTGGGAATCAGAGATACTTTCATTTAAATCATGATTTGGATCTTGGCTAAGTTAATTTAACTCCTTTGCGTTTTAGTTTCCTTATTCCAAATTAGGAAAATACTGCCTATGCCATCCATGTACTGTTATGATGATTACTTGGAAGATCTTGCAAAAGTTTTTTCTTTCCCCCACTTAATGCATGAATACCTAACTTTGGTTTAGGCCCTATGCTAAATTCTTAGGCTTAGACTGTGAACGAAACACAGGTTCAGCTATTGAAAAAGTTAGTGGAAAAAAAGTCAAGGTCACAGTGTATTTTAATAATCATAAGTGCCGTGAGCCCTGTCAGTGCACATGGTTGATTTTCAATACCTAGTCTTTGTTATTATTCCTTTCCCAAGTCTGTTCACTCTTTCTGAATTGTCAAAAAAAGCTAATGACATTCCTTATCTCTTTCTTTGTATACCTTGTTTCCACCCCACATAATCAATGCAAACAATTGCCATTTGATACTCTCTCTAGTGTCTGCATTGTTGTCACTTCTTCCTCCTCCTTTCACCTAATGTCCCAAACATTTCTATACTGGAGATATATAATAGTAACATTTTGTGATTGCTAACATTTATATTTTGGTTACCATATGGTTCATACAGTATACATAGAGTATTTCAAACATAGTATTCTAGAGGGCAGGGGGGTGATAATGTAGATTTTTACATAAAGCGAATTAGGCATTTAAAACAAGTTTTTTTGTCATGAGGTTAATGCTGATTATTTAGCTGTACAGAATGTCTTTTATAAATCCAACATTATTCCTGGGCTCCATCCTTTGTAATCTATAAGGAATAGAGAGTTTAAAGAAAAGATTTTTAACCAGGAGGAGGGGAAGGTGGGAAAAAAAGTTACAGAGAGGGAAGGAGGCAAACCATAAGAAACCCTTAAATACTGAGAACAAACTGAGGGTTGATGGGGGGGTGGGAGGGAGGGGGAGGGGGGTGATGGGCATTGAGGAAGGCACCTGTTGGGATGGGGTCTGGGTGTTGTTTGTATGTCAATATGACTTTAAAATATATATATATATATATATATATATATATATATATATATATATATGAGTGTATGGGGGCACCTTTCTTGATTTTGTGTTTTAAAGACTAAAACAAACAATAATACGTTGGTTTCCTGAAAGACAGTGCCCTGTTACCTAGGCAATGGCTTTATGACACCCAAGATGTAACTAATACAACTTCAGATCAGCTTCCAGAAATTCTCTGGTTTATGAGATGAGTAGCCGAAACAATTCATTACATTGCCTTTCAAGAAAGTTATTTTGGGGGGAGGGGGGAGGAACCAAGTGTGGGAAGGTGGAAAGGGGAGAGAAGGTATAGCTAACACAAACACAAGATTGGGGAGAAATCAGCAAGGTGCCCTACTGGGAACAGTTATTTGCCATTCCAGACTTCCTGCTACCTGCAGTGACAAATTTAAAAATTTGGCTTTAAAACACGAAGTAACTTGCCTTGCTTGTTTGTCCTTATTTTCTTAAAAGTAACCCAATGAAGCAATAGTATATAAAAGTGCTGGCTGGGGTTTTCATGAGCATGAGTGTGTGCCCGTGTGTTTAAAATACATTAAAATAAGTGCTGCCTCTGAGATTTTCAACAGTTACTGCTGACTCTTTAGTCTCTCCAAACTCCTCTCTGCATCAGCAATTTTGTATTTGATTTGGAACATGTTCTACATATTCTCCACCAAAGACTGGAGGTCAGTCTTGTAAAGAAGTAAAGGCATTGCGTAGACCTTTGATAACCCCGCCATGCCTGCTGTCCCTTCAAAGGAAAGCAGTGTTTCAGCCTACACTTGGCTGGTTAATAGAATTGACTCACCAAGTTGCCCTTGTGACTAATGATTGCCATGCGAGATGTTGTAGAATGATGTCATTTACTAATAAAATGCATTTGCTTTTACAGACTCAATTCTTTATGTTGAGAAAATAAAGATGAATCTTATTTTAAGGAATCAAGCATTTTTTTCCTTACAGAAATGGAATTAAGAAAATAACTGCCATCTAAGAACCTGCTAATTTGATAGGCAGTATTGTAAAAAATAGTATGCCTGTCTGTTTTATGAGAGTAAAGATAACCATTTAATTGATCTATCCCTGAGTCAGTCTTCCAGTATTTGAGTTACTCTGTGATTTAATATTGGAATAAAAAGTGGATAAATATCGATCAGATATTTAAGTGACTTTAAGAATTTCTGTCTAGAATAACAGATTGTGTGTGTGTGTGTGTGTGTGTGTGTGTGTATTCATTAAGCTTCTACTATATGCCTGGGTCCTTCACAAATATCAATCCTCGAAACAAAGTTGGATTTTGTAAATTTGTAAAACAAATTTTACAGATTTGGAAAAACAGATTTGGAGGGCTTAAGTAATTTTCCAAACATATTAAGTTGTGGATATTTGAGTCATTGATAGATTCTTTGATTTCAAATCCATTATTTGCAATGTACAGCTTTCCTTTAATCCTTTAATGAGAAATAATTGAAAATTATGTGATATGACATATTTCTCTTGTCCTGTCCAACAAAAGGACATTTCCAATAAATATTTATTTTAAATGAGATTTTGTGTGTGTATAATGCATGTGTCTACCTTTTGCTTGTATTCATGCAGGTATCCCTATTTACATGCATTTTGCAATAAAAGTTCTTAAACACTGCATCTTCTCCTACTTATGACTTCACTAATGTGGACTGATATAGTAGTTGGTTTAAGAATAGAAACGTAGGGGCACCTGAGTGGCTCAGTAGGTTAAGCGTCTGACTTCGGCTCAGGTCACGATCTCGCGGTCCCTGAGTTCGAGCCCCGCGTCGGGCTCTGTGCTGACTGCTCAGAGCCTGGAGCCTGTTTCAGATTCTGTGTCTCCCTCTCTTCTCTGACCCTCCCCCATTCATGATCTGTCTCTCTCTGTCTCAAAAATAAATAAACGTTAAAAAAAAATTAAAAAAAAAGAATAGAAACGTAGTGGTGCACCTGGGTGGCTCAGTCGGTTAAGCATCCAACTCCTGATCTCAGCTCAGATCTTAATCTCAGAGTCGTGAGTTGAAGCCTCACATTGGGCTCCATGCTGGGCATGAAGCCTACTTAAGAAAAATAATAAAAAAGTAGAGTTTATGATGTCATCCAACATGAATAGTGTGTTTTATATTTCATGTTGCTTTGCATAAATTGCACTACACCTATACACTTAATTTGTGTAAGTAATTTTAACATGGGCTTGAAAACATAATTTGATGACAGGTTATAAGAGTAAAATCTGTAGTTTTAAGGCAGTTCAAATTACTTAGGACATGATCAAAAAGAAAATTTATATAATTAAATGCTACTCATTTGCACTAATAGTTTTTTTTTTCTTAGTATGCACCAATTTCCAACCATAAAGGCTTATTTGTTGATTCAAAATAAATAACAGTTAATATACCTCAATTTCTGGTATAGTGATGTTATTCTTTAAGCATTATTTTGTTTTTATTTATGAAATCTAAACATTTGGCTAAATGAAGGTATCTTGTAACTGCCAAAATGACTGTTTTTTATGTTACCTTAAAATACTTAGGAAGAGACATCAGAAGCACACATTTTCCAGATTTTCTCCTTGTTCTTTTTAAATAATATCATCTGTTCCACATAGCCCCTCTAAAACCATGGAGTAAGAAAGAAAGCAGTATTTAGACTTGGAGATCGGTAGTGTAGCCAAAGAGGTTGGGCATGTGTGGGGATCAGATAACCAACATCTATCCCAGGTAGAGCAAGAGAAGGGGGGGGCAGTATCTCAAACCACTATAAATAGGGGGAGGTTAAAAAAGATGAGAAAGTTACAGATAAATGAAGAACGTTATAAATAAAAGCTTTCAACCTTTCAATATGCCTCCAGAATATGCATTATGTAGAGATGATTGCCCCAAAACAGAGTAATATTGAATTTATTGGAAATTCGAGGATTTGTCCAAGTGGAGATCTTTGTGATTTTTGTTTCATACACCAGCAATTGAATTATTGTTTCCACTGTGGAAGGAAAAAGAGAATTGATTTTGAAAATTGACAATACCATTGTCATTATTAGTTAGGTGTAATGTCTATTCTTTTTCCAAACAAGCCATCATTTTGAATCTGGTTTAGTCAGTTTCAGTCCCAGACATCCACATGAATAGTTGATGTGCGGAGACATGGCAGCCTCCCAGCTCAGCTCTCAAATTTCCACAAGCAAGATGACTCGGTTGTGATGGAGATAAGACCTTGGTTGACAAAGATAATATTTGCCATTGACATTGAGTTATTTTTATGTAACCAAAACCTGTCATTCCTTAGACAACAAGAATATAGAATGTGAAAATAAGAAGAGGTTTAAAAGTTAAGATTCCAAAATATGTCCAAAAAAGTCATTGAAAGGAACTTAATTTTTGAGAGTTTAGAACTTTACTAACAGTACAGTCTCGTTTATCTTGACAAATAAATTAACCTTTGATTTGAAAATTATAAATTGCCCCATTTGTTGCAAGAATTAGAGCCTGTACACTGTCAGAAAATATTTCTTTTTTAAGGAGCAGAAACAGAACCCTGAGGAAGAAAATGTTGTGTAAGTATAGTATTAGGAAATGCTAACCACTTTTAAAATCCTGTCTTTCAGGAAAGAACGGTGACCATTAGAAGACAAACTGTAGGAGGCTTTGGATTAAGCATCAAGGTAACCTGTATTTCCATTCTATCCTTAAAGGCTGTGCTGTAATGCATGCATTTTTGTGTATTTTGGGTTTTGGTGATTAATAATTAGACAAATATGGCTATAGCAAAATCTTCAGTATTTGCACTGAGACATAAAGTAGGTAGGTTCTCAGAAAACCTTGGCCAACTTTTGATTTAGAAAGTTTCTTAGAAAAAGTATTTGGGAATTTAACCTGGCATTGAACATAGGTAGGTGATTAACTTTATCTGGGACCACCTAAAATGTCAGATCTGGTGTCGCTGTGGGCGTATCTTCCTGTACCCAGCCAGGGGAGGAGCTACTGCCCCACCCCCCAACCCAGTGAATGGAGCAAGAACAAGTTTCACACTAATAACAGTTAAATGTTAGTTGGGTTTTATTCATCTTTTTCTTTTGTGTCGTTTTCATTTTTATTTTTATTTTGTAGAAATCGGCAAATTTTCATGTCACAATGCCAAGTAAATAGGGTAAACACAGTTTTAGCATCTGATTTATTTTTAAAATGACCATCCTGTTAACTTCCATTTATTAATGAATTTTAAATGCCTTTGTTTTTTGTGGATGTGGTTGACCAGTAAAAGCGTACCACACCTTCAATTTATCGTCATTGAAACAAAACAGAAATTTTAAAAGGATGGGAAATTATATAAATATTGGAAAAGTTAATTGCTGTCTTTAAATGCCCTTTAGAAACCTACATCTTTGCATAGATAAATGAAATTTAACTTTATCTTAAGCCAGTGGGTTAGGTATTTTGCCCACGTAGGGTGAAAATCATACATCTCAGGTATATATTTCATGAAATTTTAACACAGCTCAGTTTATATATGCTTGGAAAGTGGAGCTCTAAATTTGGTGACTATCAGTTCTAGCTGACATTATGAAAATGACTTAGAAAAATGGACCAGTGTGGAATAGCATTGTGTTGTCAAGTGATAAGACTATTACTATATAAAATGTTAGTTTTAAAATATGTATTTAACTTTCACTTTATCGTCCATCAGCTAAATCCAGGGAGGTTTGCAGTACAAGTTATAAGAAGTGGAAATGATGCCATGGGAATTATATGATACAACAGACAAGCTTTTTTTGTTTGTTTTTGTTTTTTTCTGTGATATTGATTGGGATTGCTTGAAGGGTTTAAAGATACCACTAAAGATAGTAAAAAGTCCATGAGAGAGAACAAAAGCTAAATATGAATAAAATCCAATCTCGAGAGGTGGTTTCATTTGAGATAAGCATTTTTACCTAACAGGTCGGACTCTTTTTCTGACAGACATTAGTTTTATGCAGGGAAATTTTCCTTTCTTTTTTTTTTCTATTTCCATTTATAATTTAAACTCAATAATATGATGTTATTTATTTTTTTTTAATTTTTTTTTCAACGTTTATTTATTTTTGGGACAGAGAGAGACAGAGCATGAACGGGGGAGGGGCAGAGAGAGAGGGAGACACAGAATCGGAAACAGGCTCCAGGCTCCGAGCCATCAGCCCAGAGCCTGACGCGGGGCTCGAACTCACGGACCGCGAGATCGTGACCTGGCTGAGGTCGGACGCTTAACCGACTGCGCCACCCAGGCGCCCCAATGTTATTTATTTTTATTAAAATGCTACAATTTTAACTAAACAGATTCTAAAATATCAGGAATTTTGCCAAATGAATTATGTCTATTTACTATTTTCATGATTTCATTCCAAACAAAACTCTTATACATCAATAAATAGATTAATTTTCGAAATCAAACGAGTGTGCATTTTCCATTCATGATATTGGCCACAAAAGCAGTGCTTGAATTGCGATCTGTGCCATATATTAGGAATTCTGACAAAAAAGGAAGTTATCTTACAATTCTTATGATACACTAATCAGAAATACAAAAATTAAGTTTATTATTTCGATTATTACCCAGTCATTCTGAAAAGTTTCTCTTCAGGATTTTCCATTTTGGTTTTCTCAATAGTTACCTCTGACACTTGCTTTTTTATTTTTAAGCTGTATTTTGTTCTGTTAGTGTGCATGTGTGTGTGTATACACACACACACACACACACACACACACACACACACACACACTGCATATATATATATATATATATATATATATATATATATATATAAAATGAACCATTTAAGAAAATATTTTAGCCGAATGCAGAATTAATGTTTTAACTTTGACCATTTATTTTTTTCTATTTATTTATTTTTGTATACTTATTGCTAGAACAATTTGAACCAATAATATAAATATTCCCATAAATATATGAGTGTATATCTTATCCTTATTTGCTTCAGTTAACTAATCACTGCTGGCACACATGGGAGATTTTGTAGTGAGAGTTATTGACTAAAAACCTTGACTATCTCCACTGGAAATAACAAAAGGAAGGGTGCATCTTTGACAATTAAAAAGACATTAACTAATATAGTGAAGACTTCTACAGGTGCTCCTGAATTTCATCGTACTGAGAACATATGGTGATATTATTTCAGTTTTACCTTTCAAAAAATTATTTGTGAAAGCCTGACTAACAGGTAACAAAATGGCCACCATTTGTTTTTGGTCAGAAAACACTAAAACACTCCAATATGTGCTGTTACGAGTCAAAGCCAATGGACCATGTTCTGTGCTCCTGCCAAATCTTGGCTGATGGGTTTTTCTTGCAACTGTCAGCCTTGTACATGGCGGCAACCCCTCAGTTTTCCCACATGGCGGCCGGTGCTACCACAGATGGTGGACAACGTCACAGAGAGGCATCTATTCTAATGCTTTGAACGTGCCCCAGGGGCTATAGACTGTGGGCAGTGTAATATGATGGAGGCAACCAATGTCCATTAAGCTTTGATGTCACCCGTCCATGTACAATAATGTCTTGCTCCCAACACTCTCTCCGGGCAGAGACTTCCCTATTAGGATGAGGGAAAAAAAGTCAGCCTTTACCTCCTTTTATTTTCTCTGCCATATTCTTGAGACAACGTTGAAACTTCTGGGACAAAAATGTGTGGCTTAGTCCCAGGTGGTTTGGAGAATGAGGTAGCCACATGTCTGTACAGTTGATTCCAGGTCTTCGATTCTATATCCTCCCTTGAAGCCACTAAGATGTAGTGCACATTAAGGAGAGCTTCCATCTCAAAACTTCCTATAATCCTAAGGAATAAGAGAAAATTGTAAATAATAATGAAAGATTGTAGAAGATCTAAATTTTTAAAACTACAATGTAAGTAAATTTTAATCCATTTTCTTTTCAAATGTTGTCTTATCCCCTATTGTTTTATTTTATTATTTTATTTTATTTTATTTTATTTTATTTTATTTTTACCTTAAGATTTTAGTTTGCATTATTAGGACTTTCTTACAAGATCCGGGACTCTCCTTTGAAAAGTCATAGTTACCATCTTAAATCGTATCTGAAGATGCTAGACCCTCAGTGTGGAACACAGTCATCCAAAAAGAGCTTTGGCACCAGTCACATTACGTTTTAATATAGAAATCAGATTTATCTCCAGAGACAAATTTATTTTTTAAATTCTTAAAATCCCATCTTTTCAAAACAAGAGTGTTTTACCACGGAAAGGTAGAGACCAAAATTACCTATATATCCATGTTAATTCTAAACAAGGGGAAAAAAAACTCACAACACTGAACCAAGGACCTTTGGGCAGGTGACAGTCTTGTGCTAATGCAGCACGTGGTGAAGCAGGTGTCCTGACAGGTGGAACGTCTACACAAAAGGCTGACTGTCTTGCTCCACGTTCCCATCCTCTGGTTTAGCTAATCGATTTGTTTCCAGCTCCTAAAAATAAAAGGGGTTCTTTTTAACCCCCCTCCTCCCCCGAACATGCTTATCCCCGGATCTCCGCTTGTTTCTGCGTTTGCTGTCCCGTGTTACAGTTTTTCTTGCACTACAGTTAGATCTAGTAGGAGCGCATGTGTAACTGAGCCAGGCTACAATAAGATGAAAGTTGGAGGCACAACACACACACCTTTGTACGTGGCCCAGCTCTCTGTTGTCTTTAAATGGCATTTCACCCACAAGCTCCGACTCCAGGATCTCAAGATAGAAAGAAATGATGGCCATGCGTTCTGATCAGAAACTTAAATCATGAACCAATGCTGGGGTTTTATGCACTGTGCTCACTCCCCGGGCTGTCTTCCGGAAAGCGTTGCTCGTTCGAGCTATTTTGACCCTTGTGTTGCTTTTGAGAACACTTCTGGCAACTGCTGTAACTCTGGATCTTTCCTGACAATTCTTTATGATTCTTCCTGTCTCTTACCGTTGTTGACAGTCTTCCTTGATTAAAACGTCCCTCAGAAGTCATTGCGTGTTTTTTCCCTTGTATTCGTTTTTGTTTTGGTTTGTCACTCAATAAAATGTCAAGCTCTTCTTATTTACGTTTTTAAATTTCCAAAAGATCATTCTCCGAAAACTGAATTAAAGGATCACTAAACTTTCCGCTTATAATCATTTATCCTTCTCCGGTGTCAGACTGAAACTGCTTCCTTTTGTAAAAAGTTCAGAAATCACAGAAGTAAAAGCAATGACTCCTTCAAGTCGTAATTAATAAAAGTTCATCATGCACCCACCAAGAAGACAGTTCACAGAGCAGGAGCCCTCAAACCAAAACACAGAATGTGGCTCAGGGGTATATTATTATACAGCAGCTTGTATAGTGGAAGGCAGTGACTGTTTTTCACGGCGATTGGTCTTAAGACTGCATTACAATTTTCTTAAATGATAGGGAGTTGCTTAGTGGTTCGTCCGTGTCAAACTTGGGAAACAAGTCAAGTTTTGCTTATGATTTCAGGAGGCATGAACAAAACATGACTCGGGTCAAGTTAGCCTTGCAAAATAAGCTAAATTAAGCTTTATTTATATGACTTAAACTGGTTTTGTCTGCTTGGAATGTTCAAGGCTGGTGTCCATTTGTTTTTGATTTTCACACCTTAAAGCTCTCACATTTATTAGGCTGGCCGGTATATCCTC